CAATAGATGCAGAAAAAGCTTTTGATAAATTCAACACCCATTTATGATAAAAACTCTCCAGAAAGTGGGCACAGAGGGAACGTTCCTCAACATAATAAAGGCCATATATGACAAACCCACAGCCAACATCATTCTCAATGGTGAAAAACCGAAACCATTTCTACTAAGATCAGGAAAAAGACAAGGTTGCCCACTCTCACCACTCTTACTCAACATAGTTTTGGAAGTTTTAGCCACAGCAATTAGAGAAGAAAAAGAAATAAAAGGAATCCAAATCGGAAAAGAAGCAGTAAAGCTGTCACTGTTTGCAGATGACATGATACTATACATAGAGAATCCTAACGATGCTACCAGAAAACTACTAGAGCTAATCAATGAATTTGGTAAAGTAGCAGGATACAAAATTAATGCACAGAAATCTCTTGCATTCCTATACACTAATGATGAAAAATCTGAGAGAAATCACAGCAAGATCCTTTTTGACCCACCTCCTACAGAAATGGAAATGAAAACAAAAATAAACAAACGGGACCTAATGAAACGTAAAAGCTTTTGCACAGCAAGGGAAACCATAAATAATACGAAAAGACAACACTCAGAATGAGAGAAAGAATGGGATAAGGAGGGTGGTAGGGAGACGCAAGATGGAGGGGATATGGAGATATATGTATGCATATAGCTGATTTACTTTATTAAACAGCAGAAACTAACACAACATTGTAAAGCAATTATACTCCAATAAAGATGTTAAAAAAAAATAGGAGTTGGTTGAAAAATACAAAAAAATCCCTAGATGTTGCAGAGCATTACAAAAGATTGGAGTTATTTTAAAGCAGGTCTATTGTGGCCTAACTGATAAACCAAGAATGACAAAGATTTAATGTGTGCAATTTTATGAGTTTGGACACATGCTCACACTTGTGAGATCTTTACCACAACCAAAGCAATAGACATACACATCACCTCTCAAAGTTTCCTTATGTCCTTTTGTTTGTTTGTGATAAGAACACTTAACACCCTCTTTTTTAAATTAATTTATTTATTTTTGGCTGAGTTGGGTCTTCGTTGCTGCGCGCGGGCTTTCTCTAGTTGCCGTGAGCAGGGGCTGCTCTTCGTTGCAGTGCGCGGGCTTCTCATTGCGGTGGCTTCTCTTGTTGCGGAGCACGGGCTGTAGGCCTGTGGGCTTCAATAGTTGTGGCACATGGGCTCAGTAGTTGTGGCTCGTGGGATCTAGAGCACAGGCTCAGTAGTTGTGGCGCACGGGCTTAGTTGCTCCGTGGCATGTAGGATCTTCCCGGACCAGGGCTCGAACCCATGTGCCCTGTATTGGCAGGCGGATTCTTAACCACTGCGCCACCAGGGAAGTCCCACTTAACACACTCTTAACAAATTTTGAACGAGGGACTGAAATCAGGCATTGACTTCCAAGTACACTGTAGGTGACAAGGACAAATTTGAATGGGGAAGTTGTTGGTTCGGTGAGATGCTGACCTCCAGGAAATGATGCAATCCAGGAAGTTATATATTTCACATAAAGTCACAACCAGGAAGTGGTGCTTTAGTTCCAGTGAAAAGCACGGGAGACATTGTGGCTGAGGCTGCACAGGGAGCTTCCTGAGCAAATGGCTTGGGGTTGGATGCTGAGCTTTGCAGGAGAATTGATGGCGGGTTCATAAAGGAGAAGAAAGGCAGGGAGGGATGGACCACCCCTTGGGGAGGAGGCAGGCCCTGAGGGGGGCGCCCCATCACAAGCATATTCTTGAAATGACACAGGATCAGGAAACAGGCTTCTTCCAGTATCCATAGTTGACCCCTTTCATCATGAAGGAAGAACAGCTGAAAAGAATAGATGTTTTGAATACTACCGTGAAGCAGAAGAAAACAAAGACAATGTTTTAGTTAAATAAGGAAAGTAAAGAAAAAGAAAGGAAGTACAAACCTCAAAGCACCAGTAGCAAATGTCCACCAGGAACATGAGAAGTTATGGGAAAGATCTCAAAGAAGACAACAAATTCTGTCCCTTTCTGTTGTAAAGCATCAAATATGACTTCTAGCTTTAGGGTTCCAACCATGGCCAGAGAGTGTGGATCCCTCTGACCTCGGGACACAAAGGGAGTTTACGAATTCAGGAACCATATCAGTTCCAGAAACCCCTTCCAGTCACCTCCAAGATGCCAGGGCAGAATAATAATGGGACAGTAAAAAAAGGGTTCCCAGGATACAGCGAACATCACATTTTTAGATCAACGAGAAAGGAGGCAGAACATTTTTCTCCTAAAGTTTTCCAAATGCCCCATACTCCAAAAAAAACTCTCAGCAGAAGTATGAAAGAGAAAAAAAGCTAACAATGAAAGAAAAGGTAAGATGAAGTTGGAAGGAGAGCTGACCACTTTAAGAAGTATGAAAAGGGTGACAAAAAGAAGAGAGGCATGAAAAATTAGGATCCCCTGATGGGAACTTTATCCAGAGCCTGAAGTGAGTGCAACGGCTTGGACCTCAGAGGGTCTGGTGGACTGGAAGAGATGCTTCCTCCTGAGAACCTCAGCAGCCCAGTTCTTTACAGGAAGATGAAACTTTAGTCCTCTTCTTGGCTTTCCTGGTAGAGAACTGATTCCTTAAAAATTGCCTTTAGGGACTTCCCTGGTGGCACAGTGGTTAAGAATCTGCCTGCCAACGCAGGGGACATGGGTTTGATCCCTGGTCTGGCAAGATCCTACATGTCGCAGAGCAACTAAGCCCGTGTACCACAACTACTGAGCCTGTGCTCTAGAGCCCACGACCCACAACTACTGAAGCCCACGCTCCTAGAGCCCATGCTCTGCAACAAGAGAAGCCACTGCAATGAGAAGCCCATGCACCACAATGAAGAGTAGCCCCTGCTGTGGAAGCGCAGAGTCCTACCCACTGGACCACCAGGGAATTCCCTCTCCTGAAATCATCAATGACTTTGTGTGCTCAGACCTACTCCACCACCTCAGCCTAGACTGGACCTTTCCAAAAAAAAGGATTCCTTTTAGGATCATTCATAGACAGCACCCCCCGCACATCCTGGTGTAAAGATCTTAAATTTTACTTTAATTGGTATCTGGTGAAAGAGAAATTCAAGTCAGCTCGGGAAGATTCCAGGGGGTCAAAAGAACTTAGAAATGGAGGAAACAATATGAAAAGTGCTAAAGGAAAATGAACTGTCTTGTAGTCATTTAAATACTATTAGTATTTGATAAGTGACTTTAGTAGATGATTGTGCTGAATCATTTCCCAAGTAATACAGTAGTACAGGTCAGTACTATATTTCTCTGAATCTGGGTTGGTTCTTCTTTTTTTTTTTAAACTCACAAGGTCCGTAGTGTCCTTTTATACCCAATCATTTCTTGGTGTTTCTGATGACATTGGTGCAGGGATGAAGGAAAACGTTGTCTGGAATTAAATGACCTCCTAACAACAACAACAGGTTCAGTAAAAACATTCAAATAATTTGGAAGTGTACAAAGTGAAGTCCCTATCACTCGCTCACAATCGGGGATTTGGAGTAAATATCTTTTTTTTTTTTTTTTTTTTTTTGTGGTACGCGGGCCTATCACTGCTGTGGCCTCTCCCGTTGCGGAACACAGGCTCCGGATGCGCAGGCTCAGCGGCCATGGCTCACGGGGCCAGCTGCTCCGCGGCATGTGGGATCTTCCCGGACCAGGGCACGAACCCCTGGAGTAAATATCTTTAATTGTTTAATTATCCTTCTAGACCTTTTATTATCTATCTGTCAGATTGATACATGACTACTGACATCTATTGGAATGTCCTCAGCCTGTGCTAACTGCCCTGCAGACTCCTTTTAAATTTTTTTCACAAGACAATACATTGTGGACATGTGTTAAGGTTGCCGTATGAAGATTTACTTCATTCTTTATCATGGTTACACTGTTTCCCTCAGTGTAGATTTATAACAATACATATATATATTTTATTGAAGTATAGTTGATTTACAATGTTGTGTTAGTTTTAGGTATACAGCAAAGTGCTTCAGATACGTATATATATATATTCTTTTTCAGATTCTTTTCACTTGTAGGTTATTATAAAATACTGAGTATAGTTCCCTGTGCTATACAGTAGGTCCTTGTTGGTTACCTGTTTTATGAGTAGTAGTGTGTATTCGTTAATCCCAAACTCCTAAGTTATCCCCCCCCCGATAATAATATTAACTAACTCACTTCGGAACATTCAGGCTTCTCAATTTTTTTTTTTTTTTTACAATTTCAAAAGAGTATATTTGTATCATGCTAAGAGCACAGACTAGAAACAGGCTGCCTGGGCGCAATCCTGTTTCTGTAGCTTTCCCCTCTGTGTCCAGTCTCCGTAACTGTAAAACGGGGAGAATTAGCCCCACCTCATAGGACTGTGAGGCTTAGATGAGTTTATATTGTAGAGCTCTTTGCACTATGTCTCCACGTCACACATTCTTGCTATAGTTATTCCATATGTCTTTGCAACTTGTGCTAGAATTTCTGTAAGATCGCTTTCTAGAGTGAGAATTTGTGAGATTAGACTGACCATTTAAACTGGAGCTTAGAATACCTGCCAAAATTTCAAATACGTGTGCTCTTTGACCCAGCAATGCCAGTTCTGGAAATTTATCCTACAGATAGACTAGCAGGCTTGCAAAATGACACGTCTGCAAGGTTATTCATTGCGGTATTGTTTGTAACAGCAATAGACTGGAAACTAATAGGAGACCAGTTAAATAATTTATGGCTCAACCACACAATGGATTACTATATAGCCACTTTAAAAAAAAAAAAGGAGAGGCTCTTTTTGCACCAATACAGAATGATATCCAAGATGTATTTTTAAGTGAAAATAAGAATGTAATAGCTAACACTTGTATCCCATATTTCATCAATTCTAAGATGTGCATTTTTTCACTTTGTGACGTACTTGAAATGAGGATGTGTTATAGTCAAAGGCATGTCATAATTTAATTGGATGTTTTTTTTCTTTCCTAGTCCATAAAATAATGATGTGTCTTACATACGTGGCATTTTGGACCTGAGGAAATACAGCCATGCTTACCCAGTATGAGGCACTGTCCATTTCAATCTCACAACGACCCTGTGAGGGTAAGTACTATTATTTTCTACATTTCACATGTAAGGAAGTAAGATTTGATCTTGGGCAGTCTCACTCCAGAGCTCACGCACTTGGAATTCTGATACCACACCTCCTTATGATGACAGCACCACATGTCACATATAGGTGGCTCACTGTGTGCCAGGCCCTGTCCTAAGGGCTTCATACATATATTTGCTCATCTGATCCTCAAATAACCATATGAGACAACCTTATTATACAGGTGAGGAAATCGAGGCACTAAGAGGTTATGAAACTTGCTTAAAGTCACAGCTAATTTGTGGAAGAACTGGGGTTTAAACATGGGCAATCTGGCTTCAGAGATCATGCTCTTAATGCTACCTTTTGTGTAAAGAAGGGGGGTAGTTAGGATATATTCCTTTTTGAAAAATATCTTAGAAGTAATTTAAAAAGTGATGCAAGTGTATCATCAGTAGGGTAGCACATAGGAACTGAGTAATTGGAGGATGCAAAAGTTTTTATTGCACACCTTTTAAAATATTTATTTATTTATGGCTGTGTTGGGTCTTCGTTTCTTTTTTTTTTTTTTTTTTTTTTTGTATTTTTTACAGATCTTTTCCTGTAATTGATATCTAGTCTCATAGCGTTGTGGTCAGAAAAGATACTTGATACAATTTCAATTTTCTTAAATTTACCAAGGCTTGATTTGTGACCCAAGATATGATCTATCCTGGAGCATGTTCCATGAGCACTTGAGAAAAATGTGTATTCTGTTGTTTTTGGATGGAGTGTCCTATAAATATCAATTAAGTCCATCTTGTTTAATGTATCATTTAAAGCTTGTGTTTCCTTATTTATTTTCATTTTGGATAATCTCTCCATTGGTGAAAGTGTGGTGTTAAAGTACCCTACTATGAATATGTTACAGTCGATTTCCCCTTTTATGGCTGCTAGTATTTGCCTTATGTATTGAGCTGCTACTATGTTGGGTGCATGAATATTTACAATTGTTATATCTTCTTGGATCGATCGCTTGATCATTGTGTAGTGTCCTTCTTTGTCTCTTGTAATAGTCTTTATTTTAAAGTCTATTTTGTCTGATATGAGAATTGCTACTCCAGCTTTCTTTTGGTTTCCATTTGCATGGAATATCTTTTTCCATCCCCTTACTTTCAGTCTGTATGTGTCTCTAGGTCTGAAGTGGGTCTCTTGTAGACAGCATATATATGGGTCTTGTTTTTGAATCCATTCAGCCAATCTGTGTCTTTTGGTGGGAGCATATAGTCCATTTACATTTAAGGTAATGATCGATATGTATGTTCCTATTCCCATTTTCTTAATTGTTTTTGGGTTCGTTATTGTAGGTCTTTTCCTTCTCTTATGTTTCTTGCCTAGAGAAGTTCCTTTAGCATTTGTTGTAAAGCTGGTTTGGTGGTGCTGAACTCTCTCAGCTTTTGCTTGTCTGTAAAGGTTTTACTTTCTCCATCAAATCTGAATGAGATCCTTGCTGGGTAGAGTAATCTTGGATGCAGGTTTTTCTCCTTCATCACTTTAAATACGTCCTGCCACTCCCTTCTGGCTTGCAGAGTTTCTGCTGAAAGATCAGCTGTTAACCTTATGGGGATTCCCTTGTGTGTTATTTGTTGTTTTTCCCTTGCTGCTTTTAATATGCTTTCTTTGTATTTAATTTTTGACAGTTTGATTAATATGTGTCTTGGCGTATTTCTCCTTGGCTTTATCCTGTATGGGACTCTCTGTGCTTCCTGCACTTGATTAACTATTTCCTTTCCCACATTAGGGACGTTTTCAACTATAATCTCTTCAAATATTTTCTCAGTCCCTTTCTTTTCCTCTTCTTCTTCTGGAACCCCTATAAATCAAATGTTGGTGCATTTAATGTTGTCCCAGAGGTCTTGAGACTGTCCTCAGTTCTTTTTATTCTTTTTTCTTTATTCTGCTCTGCAGTAGTTATTTCCACTATTTTATCTTCCAGGTCACTTATCTGTTCTTCTGCCTCAGTTATTCTGCTATTGATCCCATCTAGAGTATTTTTAATTTCATTTATTGTGTTGTTCATCATTGCTTGTTTCATCTTTAGTTCTTCTATATCCTTATTATATGTTTCTTACATTTTGTCTATTCTATTTCCAAGATTTTGGATCATCTTTACTATCATTACTCTGAATTCTTTTTCAGGTAGACTGCCTATTTCCTCTTCATTTGTTAGGTCTGGTGGGTTTTTGCCTTGCTCCTTCATCTGCTGTGTGTTTCTCTGTCTTCTCATTTTGCTTATCTTACTGTGTTTGAGGTCTCCTTTTTGCAGGCTGCAGGTTCGTAGTTCCTGTTGTTTTTGGTGTCTGTCCCCAGTGGCTAAGGTTGGTTCAGCGGGTTGTGTAGGCTTCCTGGTGGAGGGGACTAGTGCCTGTGTTCTGGTGGATGAGGCTGGATCTTGTCTTTCTGGTGGGCAGGTCCACGTCTGGTGGTGTGTTTTGGGGTGTCTGTGGACTTATTATGATTTTAGGCAGCCTCTCTGCTAATGGGTGGGGTTGTGTTCCTGTTTTGCTAGTTGTTTGGCATAGGGTGTCCTTCACTGTAGCTTGCCGGTCGTTGAGTGAAGCTGGGTGCTGGCGTTGAGATGGAGATCTCTGGGAGATTTTTGCCGTTTGATATTATGTGGAGCTGGGAGGTCTCTTGTGGACCTGTATGCTGATGTTGGCTCTCCCACCTCAGAGGCACAGCAGTGACTCCTGGCTGCAGCACCAAGAGCCTTTCATCCACCCGGCTCAGAATAAAAGGGAGAAAAAGTAGAGAGAAAGAATTAGTAGAAGTAGGAAGAAAGAAAGAAAGGAAGGAAGGAAGGAAGAAGATAAAGTAAAATAAAATAAATATAATAAAGTTATTAAATTAAAAAATAATTATTAAGAAAAAAATTAAAAAACAAAACAAAAAAAATGGACGGATAGAACCTTAGGACAAATGGTGGAAGCAAAGCTATACAGACAAAATCTCATACAGAAGCATACACATACACACTCAGAAAAAGAGGAAAAGGGGAAGAAGTCATAAATCTTGCTCTCAAAGTCCACCTCCTCAATTTGGGATGATTCGTTGTCTATTCAGGTATTCCATAGATGCAGGGTACATCAAGTTGATTGTGGAGCTTTAATCTGCTGCTTCTGAGGCTGCTGGGAGAGATTTCCCTTTCTCTTCTTTGTTCTCACAGATCCCAGGGCCTCAGCTTTGGATTTGGCCCCGCCTCTGCTTGTAGGTCGCTGGAGGGCGTCTGTTCTTAGCTGGGACAGGATGGGGTTAAAGGAGCCGCTGATTCGGGGACTCTGGCTCACTCAGGCCAGTGGGGGAGGGAGGGGTACGGAGTGCAGGGCGAGCCTGCGGTGGCAGAGGCCTGAGTGACGTTGCACCAGCCTGAGGCTCGCCGTGCATTGTCCCGGGGAAGTTGTCCCTAGATCCTGGTAACCTGGCAGTGGCGGGCTGCACAGGCTCCCCGTAGGGGAGGTATGGATAGTGACCTGTGCTCGCACACAGGCTTCTTGGTGGCGGCAGCAGCAGCCTTAGCGTCTCCTGCCCGTCTCTGGGGTCCGCGCTTCTAGCCGCGGCTCACGCCAGTCTCGAGCTCCTTTAAGCAGCGCTCTTGCGTATTCGTTTCTGTGCGAGGGCTTTCTCTAGTTGCGGCAAGCGGGGGCCACTCTCAATCGCGGTGCGCGGGCCTCTCACTGTCATGGCCTCTCTTGTTGCAGAGCACAGGCTCCAGACGCGCAGGCTCAGTAGTTGTGGCTCACGGGCCTAGTTGCTCCGCGGCATGTGGGATCTTCCCAGACCAGGGCTCAAACCTGTGTCCCCTGCATTGGCAGGCAGATTCTGAACCACTGTGCCACCAGGGAAGCCCTTAAAAATTTTAATTTAATTTTATTTACTTATTTTTTTGAGGTATAGTTGATTTATAATGTGTTTGTTTCAGGTGTAAAACAAAGTGATTCAGTTATATATATATATATATATATATATATATATATATAGTGTTGGCCAAAATGTTCATACGGTTTTTTCTGTAAGATGGCTCTAGTAGCACTTAGTTGTCTTTAACTTCATTCGAAACAATTTTGTTAGATTGTATGTGACAGCTGTCATATCAGTGTGCATTTAAAAGAAGACATCAAAATTGGTGAATTTTTGTGTAGCCATTTTACTATTGAAGATGGAAGAAAAAAGCAACATTTTCAGCATATCATGCTTTATTATTTCAAGAAAGGTAAAAACACAACTGAAACGCAAAAGAAGATTTGTGCAGTGTATGCAGAAGGTGCTGTGACTGACCGAACATGTCAAAAGCGGTTTGCAAAGTTTTGTGCTGGAGATTTTGCACTGGATGATTCTCCACGGTCGGGTAGACCAGTTGAAGTTGACAGCGATCAAATCAAGACATTAACTGAGAACAACCAATGTTATACCAGGCGGGAGACAGCCGACATACTCAAAATATCCAAATCAAGCACTGAAAATCATTTGCAACAGCTTGGTTATGTGAATCAATTTGATGTTTGGTTTCCACAGAAGTTAAGCGAAAAAAACCTTGACCATATTTCTGCATGCGATTCTCTACTGAAATGTAATGAAAACGTTGTGTTTTAAAAACAAATTGTGACAGGTGATGAAAAGTGGGTACTGTACAACAATGTGGAATGGAAAACATCGTGGGGCAAGCAAAATGAAACACCACCAACTACACCAAAGGCCGGTCTTCATCCAAAGAAGGTGATGTTGTGTGTATGGTGAGATTGGAAGGGAGTCCTCTATTATGGGCTTCTTCCAGAAAACCAAATGATTAATTCCAACAAGTACTACTCCCAATTAGACCAACTGAAAGCAGCACTCGACGAAAACGTCCGGAATTAGTCAACAGAAAATGCAGAATCTTGCATCAGGATAACCCAGGACCGCATGTTTCTTTGATGACCAGGCAAAAACTGTTAGAGCTTGGCTGGGAAGTTCTGATTCATCTGCTGTATTCACC